TGTTTGGGCGCTGGAGATAATTCAGTAGGTATCAGATTGTCATGTAGTCAAAGATTGCTCCCTTTCATTGTAAATCTCCACAAGAGTGACCACAAATAACCACTGTGTAGAATAAATACTAGTCTGTCTTGAAATCTCGTCTCCCAATGCCATTAATCTAAACCTCTTCTATTTAGCCTCCTTCAGAAAGCAGGGCCCAACGTGGCTACATTCTTTGTCATAATACCACTGGAATGGTCTCTATGGCACTTACTGATATTCTCCACTAACTTCTCTTGAGAGGACCATCATTGTCTATATTTGTCTCTGCACCACTGCCTCCAAGCTCTTTCTAATATGGCCCACAATCCCTCCCTTAAAACATTCAGCCACTTTCTTAATCCAACGTACCAAAGTCCACAATCTACCAACAAGCAGCATGGTCTGGCCTGTCATAGCTGTACCCTGTTCCCTGCACCAGTTTCTGGCTCAGTGTGTTCTATTGCTGTGAAGAGACAGCATGACTAAGACAAGTATTTTAAAGGAAAGCATTTCATTAGAGTTTCAGAAGTTTGTTCTATTATCATCATGGTGGGGAGTGTGGCAGCACCCAGGCAGCCATGGTAGCTGACACTTCTCCATCCAGATCCACATGCAGCAGGAAAAGAGAAAAGCAGTGGGCCTGGCTTTGGCCCTTGAAACCTAAAAGCTCACCTCCAGTGATAGACTTACTCCACCAAGACCACACCTACTCCAAAAACACCTCACCCCCTAATTCCTCCTTAGTAGCATCACTCCCTGATGACTAAGCTTTCAGACACATGGGCTAAGGGAGGCCATTCTCATTCAACACATCACAGTACCTCTCTTTTTTATTGCATTTTTTTTGTACATAGGTCACCAATTTGTGTTTCTTACATTTCTGATGTCTCTCAGTCATTAAGAACTTCTTTTGATTTTCCACAAATGGTTATTTATTTCTTTTTAGAGCAAGTTGTCAGGTAGGTGTCTTAGTTTGGTTTATTTGCTGTGATGAGACACCATGAAAAAAATACTTATTGGGGAGATAACAGTTTATTTGGCTTACACTTCCATGTCATCAAAGGTAGTCAGGACAGGAACTTGATCAGGGCAGAGACCTGGAGGAAAGAGCTGATCCAGAAGCCATGGAGGGGTGCTCCTTATTCTATTGCTCTCTATGACTTGCCAAGGCTTCTTTCATATAGAACTAAGAAGGACAGCACTTATATTGTCAGCAGTTGAGGCAAGGGTAGTTCTTTGCTCATTAGGCCATTTTGTACCAAGAACACAAACTTCCAAATGGAAATGTCTTGGAAGCCCGATGTTCTCTTGGGATGAAATTATTTCTGCCAGGAGCAATTGTGTCTCATGTCAACAGAATTCTGTTATTTAAATGCCATCTTCTGTAGGTCTATGAAGTGTTTGAAGATTACCTGTCCATCTGACATATGTATCTCTAAATCTGGATAAACTAACTAACATAACTATAGAGAGGACAAGCATAGGTGACTATAAATCTCTAAGTCTTATCCACCTAAATACCCTAAGGACTAAGGCTTCATGTAAACAAGGAAAAAGTTCTATAAGCAAATGTATAGTAAAGGACGATGACTTCAAAATTGTGACAATACACAAGATATGTATAACAGAGGTATAGTATAGTGCAATATGCTGTATGACAATAACCTTAATTATATATAAATATACAGAATTTCCTAAAAAGAAGTAGAATATACATACAGTATGACAGATGTAAGTTTATATTTGTATCAATATATAAATATTTCAATAAGAGTAGAAATATATGTACATTATAACAAATATAGTTCTGTATTTGTATCAATATACAAATTATTTAAACAGGAATATAAAAATAATTTACATTAGTATCCACATATAAGAATCCAAAACAGGGCAAATTACAGTGCAAATTATCTAAGACTGCTATTTTACTAAATTTGGTTACTAGCATATACAATAATCTACCATAATATCTTCTTCCTATCCATTCTATTCCTTCTTTCCCCCTTTTGAGACACTTTTTCTTTTCTTAAGGAGAATACTGAGTTTAATATTTTCTTCCACCCCCAACCCTATAACCACCACCCACAATCCTGAGAAATATGAAACCTTAGGGAGATGGGGCATCATTTTCTTAGAATTCCTTCCTGCGGTTTAGGGGGTGATGATATCTCTTTTGGGTAATATAAGAAAGCTAAAACATAGTTAAATCTCAGACTAACTGTAGATTCCACAGCAAGTCTCAGAGTAATGGGTAAGATTGTCTGAAAATTTGGCAAGAGTGTAGTATGATGATGATTATCATGGCATCATTCTGGATTGAGTAGAGTTCTTCTTGTTGGGGCCCCATCCTCCTTCTGGAGACTTCAGAGATTGCTATTGGAAAAACTTATTTTTTATCAAAATGAAAGTTTGGATTTAAAGATGACATGACATGTAAGAAAGGATTCTGAGAAATCAAGAGTAAGAGAAAGGACCCATTCAGTATTCTTTATGAATTTTATTCTCTTGCTTTTGGGATAATGGTTATTAATCTCTCCCAAAAGGTTACTGCAGGCTCTCTGCCAGTATTCATTATCTTTCCATAGTGATGAAATTTCCTCATTAGTTAAAGGTACTCCAATTTCTGTTGGGTGCATTCCTGCCAACTGGTGAAGTCTCAATTTACCTTTTTGAATCAAATCAGGGATCTTTTCTATATAAGTCTTTTATTTCTTATTTGGTTTATGTGGTAGGAATATCCATTCCAATATAATATCTTCCCTCTGCATCAAAATACCTGTGGGGGAATGTCTGGATGAGGAATATGACAAGAATGCATTTAAGTTCTGGATCCACATGATCCACATGTGCTTCTGGAATTGTCTTTTCTACTAGAGCCAATTCCTTCTCAGCTTCGGCTGATAATTCTCTTGGACTATTTAATTCTTTGTCCCCTTCTAGAGTATTAGCCACATTTTGTAGTCCATCTTTGGGTATTCTCACGATACCCAGTAACTTGGAAATGCTTCCTAACAACTTTTGAAAATCCTTAAGAGTTTTCAATCGATCTCTCCTTTGTTGTACCTTTTGGCATCTATTTTTTTGTAGCTCTGTCTTATATACTAAGTAATTAGTAGAAATCTCCTCTTTGTATTTTTTCAGGAGCAATTTGCATTTCCCAGCTAAGCAAAACTTTTTTTTACTTCTTCGAAAATGCTTTCTAATGTGTCTAACTTTGGATTGGCTAATAGGATATCATTCATATACTATTAATATAAATTATCGAATGTGGAAACTTTACATGAATTATCTCTACTGGTTTTTGCACAAAGTATTGGCACAAAGTAGGGCTGTTTAACTTTCCCTGTGGGAGGACCTTCCATTGATATCACAGTATAATTAGGTACTGTGAAGGCAAATTTTTCTCCATCATTTTCTTATAAGGGTATGGTAAAGAAACAGCCTTTTAAGTCAATAACTATTATATGTCATTCGTTGGGTAGCAGAGAGGGCAAGGGCATCCCAGTCTGTAGGGAGCCCATTGGCTGAATTACTTTATTAATACCTCTCAGATCTGTCAACATTCTCCAATTACAAGACTTTTTTTAAATAACAAATACAGAAGAGTTCCACGGGCTGGTAGATTCTTCAATGTGTTGAGCATTTAACTGCTCTTGAACCAGCTGTTCTAAAGCTTGTAACTTCTCTTGTCAAAGGCCATTGTCTTTGTATAATAAACCAGACAGGTTTATTAGTTAGCCATTTAAAGGTAAGGCAGTTGGTACTTCTGGGAGTTCAACAGCATTTGTGCTCTGTTTGTGTACAGATTGAATAGTTGGTGACTTTTTTATAGCATGTTATGATGTTATTCCTAGAAACATGTGTTGATCTGTATTCCTTTTCTGAGAGTGTAGGAATTTTAATCTGGGTATTCCACTGTTGTAACAGATCTCGGCCCCAAGGATTTACTGCTACATATGTCTTCAGCCTTCCTCTCTGTCCTTCTGGCCCTATGCATTCAACCCATCTTGAATTCTGTTTTATCTCAGGTAGGGTTCCAATCCCTAGAAGTTGGACATCTACCTCTTTAAGAGGCCAATTCGGATGCCATGGTTTTGGTGTAATTAAAATCACATCCGTACCTGTGTCTACCAGGCCCTCCAGGCCATTAATTTGAATGTAAGCTTTGGTCTTGGTTCATTTATGAAAGTCAGCCAAAATATTTGTTTTATTTTGTTCTTTAGAAATTGTGATTCATCTATCAGAGGTGTTTTATCATGCATTGCAGCATTGATTTTTACATTAGGCATTGGTGTATTCAGTTGTCCTGGAGAGGAATTTCTTCCACAGTGGCTGGAAAGGTTTGTAGCATGTTTGATTTGGGGGCCTGAAAGAGGCCCCCCAGGTTGTTTTGTGTTTACCCACCAACCCCAGAGCTTCCCAGGGTTTTCTTGAGTGTGAGCGGCAGGAAATATTAGATAGGTTTTATATTGTGGAGAATATTTTGGAGATAAATAGAAAATAAAGGATAGCCTCGAGAGGGCCTGGAACCTTTTCCAATGGGTCCTGAATGTCTCTGCCCCAGGGTATTTATAGAGATGCCAAGGGGGTGGGGCAAAAGTCCTCACCCCTAGCAAAGCCAAGTGCAGACCATTTCAGACACCTGCACTGAGGCCTGTGGTCCTAATCATCCTCTATGTGGGCATGCTGGGTATACCCACAAGGAACCCAAAAATGGGCTCCCACAGGTCCCCCTTTCTGAATATGTAATTAATAACTAATTTTTAATGGATTACAGCAATCTCCAAGCTGTTACATCTCCCAGTATGGAGTAGAAGATGATAAAGATTGCATTTCTCTTTTGAATTAGGTCCAAGTTGACTATAGCACTCTTAGCTACCTCAAGCCCTTTCTAAACCCAAAACTCTTAAGGCAATTACAAACTTAAAGAATCTCTTAGCTTCATCATTACCATTAACAGGTTAACATAAATAATGCTATACATAGTCACAATCTCCCAATCTTACAACACAAAGCAAACTCTTAACAGAATCATTTGAATTAGCATATATGATGCTATATATAGTTAATAATTTTTAGTCTTACAAATTTAGCTCTTAATCATTTGAAT